TCATATTTGTTTTTCGTTAATTGTTTTGTTATAAATTAGGCCGTTAGTTTTCACAATTGAATTGTTTCATATTTTTCATGTCGAGGCCTTTTATAGCCGACTACACGGTATGGGTTTTTCTCATAGTTTAAGGCCTTACGGTTGCCTATAATTGCTTGCATCCACTTTGTTTGAACTTTGGTGGATAGTTGTCTCATTGGCAATCATACCTATCTCCTTATTTTTATATTTCAAGATGTCTCACTTCTTCGGACTACACTATACCGTGGACGTTGGCGTGATAAAGAAACACATGTTTACATCAACTCACCTCTCCGCTATAACCGGGTTGTTTTTTTTATGAACGTAACATTTGTAATGGATCTGCACAATCACGGCAGTGTGTTTCTTGATATAGTGTAACTTAGTTAAACACTACGTGTGCATTTTATACAAAACAAAATCGCTAATACTTCGGCTATTTATAGATAAGCGTGTAATATAATTATCCTGTATAACGACACGCATGAGTGATAACTTTAATTTTATTGATGCATTGTAACTCGGGAACTGATATAATAAACATCAACAAGTTAATTATGAATACGAAAGTTAAAATAATATGTATATCTGATGCAAACGCAATTGAATAATGAAGACAGAACAAAACTCAATTAATTTGGAGCCCTTTTTCGTTTGACCTTGCGGCATTTAAATATCGATTCAACACTTCACTATCAACTTGAATGAACACTTCACTATCATTTGCATGACCTACTATCATGATTTCTTTCTGGCCTCACTTACGGATACGCTCACATATAATAGATGCACCCAAATATTATCCAATCAGACGTTAAGAATGCCTTTACTTCATACGGAATAAGCACATATTTACCAATGAGAATCCATTAACAGATTTACCCCATTGTGATGTGAAGCGTATGACTAATTAGACCGGTTCTCAAGTCACCCGGTAACAAGTGACCCGGTAATAAGCAGGTGCATTCGTATAATGAAGATTTTTCTAGGTCTGTTTGATTTCATGTCTTGCATGTAGATTTGAAAAAAAAATGTAAATCATTAATTTACCTGTATTATAATGATTTTTGTGGGCAGAATGTTCAATCAGTCAACGAAATGGTTCTTCCCGGTGGAATCCTTGTTTCACGTTTCAATATTGACACTCTTTTCTTTTTTAAATAACTAAAAAAGCTTAGCACATGCGTAACTCATCTGCAGCTAAGGGTCGAATTAATGATTGCATGAATACGAATTTAAATGAGATTGAATTGTTGACGTATAAGGCCATTAAACATCAGCGATGTCTTTGAGCTTATTTTGACAAAAGTAAACCAAACTGACGGCTAATAGCGACACAATTCCGCTTTTATAAATATTTGAAACAAAAAGTAAACATATTATACTTTTTGTATAAATCGTAGCTTATGTGCCCTTAACCTTTTACAAGATAGCTGTGCGATTTGGAAAAAAAATAGAATCAAAATGATTGAAAACGGAAAATAAAAAAATAATGAAAAAAATGTTATGGTACAAAGTTTTGTAGAATTTTCTTAACAACTTGCAATTCCGATAACTACAACTTTACTATTCAAAATCAGATATTAAATCATTTCATTTTTTAATGTGAACGCTGTTACTTCAGACATGTACTAGGATGACAGTATTGAAGAATTGAATGCAACTAGATACTCAAGCCATTTCTAACTGTTTTTGACAATTTTCTCTTATGTTGTGCTGTTACATCTGTCCAGTTTATTTTTTATTTTTTCAAAAGTTCACAAATGATATACAACAGAAATATAGGGATCTGAAATAACAAAAACTTATATGAATCCGTCTCCATTCGTGTCGGGTATATTATAACGCTCTCACAAACATGACCAACAAGTTACTTACTGTCTGTCAAAGATTTTCGTTTATTGCGTTGTCATCGTTAAGGCCGTTACCGTGGTAGTTCTTTTCGGGATCCTTTATAGCTGACTATACGACTGTTTAGGAGATCTTTTGTTTATTCGGGATCAGTTCCATGGAATGGACTACCTTACAAAATGCGTAAAGTCCAAAAGCACTTTTACTTTTAAACAAAGTATCAAACTACAATATATTATTTTTATTTTTTATTTAAATTATAGTTTTGTTTTTATTTGTTACTATATATTTACCAGTTTTATCTTTTATAATGATACATTGAACTACATGTACATGTACATGTATATGATTGTCAATTAACTATGTGTTAATATCTGTTTTTTTGGATGTAGTGTAATGTGTATGCGAGAGCATCGGGAAAGATTAGTTTGTTTTACCTAACTGTGATTATCCTCTTAGTATAAAGAATTTAGTATTATATTATTGTAATAATAATTATTATTATTATCGACAAAATAAATAATTTATTATTATATTATTGTAATAATATTTATTATTATTATTGACAACCATACCACATATCCTTATTGTATATTGTATTGGTGTATAGAAAACTTAAAGGATATTAAACCCACTTAACACTGACCGCCAGTTGTTATTATTTGTTATTCTTGATCCTCACAAATGATGCCTGTATGAACTATAAAATAACAGGCCGATGTCTGGTCATTTCATGACCAAAATGGGTTAGTGTTTTTCTATAAATTTGCATATACGATTCATCTTATCATACTAAATTGCACTAGAGCTTATATGGCTTATTATTTGGCTATACTACTTAGGTCTCGATATTTTTTTGCTATCAAACGTTATGTATTTTCCACTTTCCCAACGTTTTGTCACGAGGTTACGATTATAGTTATTCTAGAAACACGTGTGGAACATTGGAAATCATATTTCTGCTACTGGGTGGGTTACCGTCAGCCTAGCTCATCCGCTTAAAAACAAGTATTAGGATCTGGTGTAATTCAAATGATCAGTTTCGTTTTGTAACTTACCAGTTTATTAAATAAATTGTCAAACCTGTATAAAAAGGTCAACTTCGGCATTAGAGAAAACTGAATTTATAATCTAGAGAGATGGTCTTTGCATTGAGGTTGAAATTGAAAGGGAATGCTACAGCTGGACATGAAGACAGTGACCTTACAAGAGAGGATTTCGCTGAATATACAATTGAGAATGGAAATGGGGAATGTGTCAAAGAGACAACGACCCGACCATAGAGCAGACAACAGCCGAAGGCCACCTAAAGGATTTGTATAGTGATTATACAAATTCTCACTTATCTTTATGGCAGGTTTGACATTGTTCTAAAAAATAAGACAACGGCTTATTTCTAAAAAAAAAGTTGATAGCGTATAATTTTGGCTGTTCTAATGAGGCCCTTTGTATTTTAATTCTTTCAAATATTTTGTGCTTGTGACTTAACTCGTCAGATGGATACAAATAGAAATACATCTAACACGGAGTGGACGTGGACGGGTACTTGTACATCCGAACATCAAAAAGACACTAAGTACAGATATTATTACTCGCAGTTACTGACAGCTAGTTCAAAGCCAATAACAACTAATAAAAAAAATCATGCATCTAAGATGTATGGTTTACCTTCAAATGATTTGAAATTAGTTAATTTTTACATGGATTAAGGAAAATATATTTATTATATTTCATTTTTTGTCTATTCATAAGCCATATGTTTTTCATCAGTTTGCTGCTTTATAGTTCAGCCACTGCCTTTTATTCAATATAACACACAAAGATTCGACACATGCTATATTAGTCAAACTTATTTTTTTTCTAGTCAAATCTGGAGAACACACATTAGTTAATAATATAACATATTCTGTTTTCGTTCACCGTGAACCTGAAGCATGCGGGGTCCTATTCCATACACAAAAAAGAAAAAGAAATAAAGTTAGATGTTCGCATAAGGCTAAGCAGATTAATTTTGTTTGCTTAGGTTTTCCATTCCTACATAAACTTTTTTTAAAACATTACTTTTTTTTAATTAATTTTAAAACAAATACCTCAAGTATCTTTTGCAGGCACGAAACACTAATATTTATTAACATAGAAGCGACAGAAATGAGGAACCTCGGGTACATAAGTAGTTGGGTTTGGAATGAACGAAGGAACATAGTTCAAATTGGATTATCTCCCTTATATCATATTTTTCTAGTCTCTTTAAAAATAACTTTTTGTTTGTTCAAAATTTTGAATTTGTTTCTTTTTGTGCTTTTTACTGTTCTGATGAGTGAAGGCCTTTCAAACTGATTTTTCCTGCGTGTTTTGTGTTGTAACACAATTGTCCCAGTTAAGAAGGGAGGATTGAGTGCTCACGAACTTGTATCACTCGGTCACATTATATATGAGCCGGACCTGAGCCAGGAATCTATAATCCAGTGGTTGACGTTGGTTAATGTATTTCTGTTTATTAACGTTTATTGCTGAAGAATAAATTAGGCCACTAAATTAAACTCTAAAATTTGATTTATACTAAAACGGGATTTTTGCCCTTTGTTAAATTCTCAAAATTGATTTACTTAAACGGAATTTTTGCCCTTTGTTAAACTCTCAAAATTGATTTACTAATAAAAACGAGATTCAGAACCTCAAACTCTATAGAAAACATAACGTATTGTCTGCAATCGTTATAAGTATCAACATTTCGTGTGTATGCCCGACTAGACGCCATCAAATTAACTATCGAGATGACGCACGAAAACTGTCGATGGACATATGACCCCGTTATAATCAACAATATAAAAAGACAGGTTAACGTAAGATACACATGGACAGGTATAAGCACCTGTAACAGTATAAGGTCAGTTTTCTTAGTTCTGTTTGATACCCTGTATAAGACTGATTTCTATGTGGTCAAATCAATCAACAAAACAACAGTCTTTCTTCTGCTGCCTTCCCTAGTTTCACTTTTTCAGCTGACATTCGTTTCAATCACTTCATATGCCAGGCACATGCGCAAACTTACCAACAAAAAAAGGGGGTTAACTTGATGAAAGATCGCATGAATGCGGATACGCAAATTCCAATAAAAACAGGACAACTCAAATCTAGTTTTTATTAAAAATGTTATCATTATGAGAAACATGCAAATTATAAAATAAAGAAGAACACAATATTAATATTCACATTCATATTAACAAAGAAATAATCCCGGTATGTCACTAGTGTAATTAGCACAAAGATTTCTCGTACCATCCAACATTGTTTTGGTTGTCTATCTTGTTTTTCTGAAAACTGTAAATTTTCAAACTCTCCTCAACTGGTAACATGTCTTTTGATTCATCAACATAGATTTCGAAAGTAACGTTCCTATTCCCGCGGTTTAACAGAGAAATCATGTGGATAAATAAATGTTCATCAACGCATTCGTTCATATTTCCATTGAAACTGAGATTGTAATGCAATCCTTCTGTTGTGTATGAATACGTCCCGAATGACAGCAGCACCGATGGAGAACTTGACATATTTGAACCAACAACAAGAGTTCTTTTGTCAATAACCAAGTCAACGTTTGAAACTACCGGCTTATAAAGAATGTCTGATTTGAGAAGTCGTTCATCTTTGAAAAGATGCCGATACGATTCGGGAAAACTGACGACTTTCTTCACGTCATGCCCAAATAAGCGTTTTGATGATTTCAACTGAATACTGTGCTTTTTCAGTTTTTCATGTAGGTCCGTTATCTTTGTGTGGAAAGTTTCTTTCGTCTGAAAAAAAGTGTCAAAAGTAAACTTGTAACCATGCCGAATCGTTCTTACAATTGTTTAAAGAACATGTATAAAAATAGATCAAATGAAGGAAATATCTACATCCTTAGGATTATGACATCAATTTGTTTTTTGAAATTTAGTTATTAAGATGCAAAGTTGACCAGAAAGGAGTACTTATTGACCTTACTTTCAATTAATTTTGTTTTGACATCTGTTTTTCTATGCAACTATTTTAAGAAAACATCTCCCAAATAACGAAACGCACATTAACTAGAAAGTTATAAATGTCAAGGCTTGCAATGGGAGCAAGTATTACATTAGAACAGGTGAATTGGTAAACAAGTTGGTTTATGTCACCATAATCATTTTTTTTTTATAACCATGACCTACATGTACCATTAGTAATAAATAAAACATTATACAATCGCGTTAGAGATTAGGGTAATGTCATTATATTTTAGACAAGATTTGGTATACATTTTTCTCTCTAGATATAGTGTATTTCATTGAACCTAATATGTAATATTCTATATGACTCCTATCAGATGCGGATCCAGGATTCTGAAAGGTGGGGGGGGGGGGGGGGGGGGGGGGGCTGTCAACACTTGCCTGTCAACACTGAGTTTGTGAGTTCGAACCAAGCACGTGACAGGTGCTTTCGACTCCAAATCTTAATTGACTATAATTATTGTCAGTTTCCCTGTCCAGGGGGTCGTTGGTCATCTCCGGCTTCCTCCACCATTAAAACTGACCACCATGATATAGCCAATAGTGCTGAAAGTGGCGTTTAACACCAACAATCAATCAATCTTACCTTTACTGTTACTAAGTTCCATTCTTTATCTGAACATTCTTCTAGTACATATGTGCCAGTCATTTCAGGGTGAGGGGTCATTGAAGCAGTTTTTATCGTAGGATCTTGTGTCTGTTTAATGTGCTCGTATACAGCTTTCTTTATTTTCTTATTATCGCTATCTTGTTTGACTCGCAGCTTATCCAGCACCAATGTTGAGCCATCGTCGATAAGGTGTGTTAGCAGAAATCCTACCTGAAAATTAATGTATGGATAAAGTCTATATGTTAACATTGTGAATCTATATATACTACTACACGTAGGGATTTGTATGTATGAGACATGGTTCCCCTTATAAATACAATTTGCCATATCTATGTTCTTTTTTTACAATATGTTCTTTGTCATCTTCGTTTATTAAATTAAGAATATATATTTTTTTAAATTGTTGATAAAATGTAGACAATATTGTAAAGAAAAATATACATATGCCGGATGGAAACTTCAGAACATAAGGCATTTGAGTGTATAAAGTTCTTCAATTTTCTGAAACATGAGGCTTTGTTTAAGAGAGAGGCGAAAGATACAAGGGACTTTCAAACTTATAAGTCGAAAATAAACTGACAACGCCATTGCTAAAAACGAAAAAGTCCAACAGACAAACAACAGTATACAAAAAACAACATAGAAAACTAAAGACAGAGCAACACAAACACCACCAAAAACTGGGGTGATCTTAGGTGCTCTGGAAGGGTAAGCAGATCGTGCTCAAAATGTGGCACTCGTTTAAATAGTTCTTATAAATAAAATAAAACATTTTTGTTTTGAGAAAAACATACTTACATCTTTTCCATCTACATTTGCCACATATCCTGTATTCGTTTTGCGACTAATGAAAGAACAGTATCTATCTACCAGGTGGTCAGTTGTATTGTTCTGATGTGGAATGGCTATAACAGTATTATAATCAGACAAAGTCGCCTCCCGGATATTTACGGTACTATCACTGTCTCCGTAAAGTCCCTGGCTTAAGTCGACTTTATAATTCGTGGATTCCAAAGCCAAATTATTTGTTATTCCAAAATGAAATATTCTGTTTGATATTAATCCTCCTAAATAATTTGATGTCCATCGTGAAAGCGAAGTTCTGAACATGGTCAAATGTTCAAGGTCTGTTGTAAACTGATAAGTCTATAGACGTTGACATACAAATACACAGAATGATCTTTGGTGTTTACAAAATAAAAGTTTTTTCACCTAGATGTCGTGAACTATTGTCATAATTAATTCACTGAAAGATAATTGACTAATCTCTTTAAAAATTTAATCCTTTAGATGAACAGATAATCTCGAAAGCGGATATATATACATGTATATATATAAACAAGTCTAAATTGAAAACATATATTATATATATATGTCAATATCCGAGAGTAAAAATGTATGATGAGTTACCTCTGAACAATCGAAAAATATAAACAAACAAATTGCGTACAATTGTTGACAAACAACAATAGAATTGTAGATGCAATTAATTTGCAAGTCTTTCACTAAAAGTTCAACCACCGTACGTATCATGTACTGAAAGTATATTACAAACAGATGAAATGAGTAATATGACCTAGCTGGGTAGATATACGAAGAAACAATGTACTTATCACAAAGGTAAACAGTATATTTTTAACTCTGAGAGGATAAACTTTGTCAACTATTTTTACTTATCAAGAATATTCACCATTGGGGTCGAAGTCCAAGGCCGTATATTATGTTTACTAACTTGTTACATCTAACTGTTACGAAAATCCTTTAATAACGTAATGCTTTTACATTTCTATTGAACGTAGCCTGGTACTGATGGTTACATAAATTTACATTTAATGCGGAAAATAAACGTTGTGAAAATTGGTAGTTATTTTGGGTCTTTAAAGGGATCAACCAAAACCGTCCGATGCGGGATATACCTTCTAGCGGAAAAAGGGTGAGGGTGTAAGAAAAGGTTTGGTCCAACTCGTTACCCATTTTTAGATCTTTTTTTTCTTCAAAATACGGTTACCAGGTAAAGAGATGCAAATTAATTCTTTCAACAGCTCAATCTTATCTTTTCGTCGATTTTATTGCTATGAAATATATTTATATGCATCTTCAAGATTCAAAAATATTGGTACCTTCCAAAATTAGCAGTTTCGTGACTATTTTTCTTTAATAAAAAAATGAACATTCAATTTATAACGCAATACTATAATTCGTGTATTATAAACAGACAATAAATACTAGATTATTGAAAAGCTGCATTCACTTTTAATGACCATACAAACAAATGTCACCAACAATCCAATTAATACCAATTTAGACCTTTTACCTTCTTTAATAAAGAGTCCAATTTCATTTGTATATTTTCAACTACAGAGTAGGATACCCAACCGAAAGACCGCCTCGGTGGTCACGTGGTAGATTGTTAACCTCGAGTGCGTGGTCGTGGGTTCGGACCCCGGCCGGGTCAAACCAAAGACTTTAAAGTTTGTATTTTGCTGCTTCTCCGCCAAGCACGCGGCATTAAGGTCCTTAGTAGTAAGAGCAGACTGGTCGGCTCGGAGTTAGAATAATGTATCCGGGTAAGTTGATATGTCTTCATGCGGACTGTTACCTTGTGAACTAGCACGTTAAAAATCCGGTTCAGCTTGTCGGACTAGTACAAAGCAGGGTTAATATTCATATTACAATTCAATTCAATTCAATGTTTTATTAAAGTCTCATCTCTCAACAAGTACAATCAATATTTATACATTGTAAAACCATACTGAATAAAATGAGAGCCATTCTATACAGAATTATAAGAGACTATTAAAATGCATAGATATAATACACTAAACAATATGAAATAAAATACTATTTACAATATATAAAATTTCTACGCCTTTTTAAAATCAAATAACAGGTTTTGGCACACACACGTATCATATTTACATCTGAGAATAAAAACACTAACTTTTGGTTATCATCTAAAGCATTAAAATTTTCATTAACAGCAACATTATATAAACGGTTTCTAAAATCGGCATAAAGAGGACATCTTAATAAAACATGCGCTTCATCTTCAATAAAACCGTCACATATATGGCACACTCTGTTTTCTAAAACAATATTTTCATATCTCCCTGTTTCAATCCTTAGGGGAGCAACACCACATCTAAATTTGGCGGAAGCACTTCTTTGACTGAAGGGTAAAGCTATTTTGCAGTATTCCTCTGGTTCAAAATTTTCTTTAAACAATCTGTACGTTCGTAGCTTATTGCCACCTCTACCCGATATAAATTTATCAGAATGTCAAACAGAATGCCAAATGATCGACATGTTTATCGTGTAATTTTGACATAAAAAGTTTTACAACATAGTTAGTGTCCATATTTTCAAGACACGATAAATGACTAAAATTTAGTTCACAGAAGGCTTTCCTTACTAAAAAGTTCCAGTTTTTAATACACTTATGCTTAATACTCATACTATCAGCCCATTTATGAACTTTTGCATTAACCGATTTGAGCTCATGTTATTTAATCTACACAACAAACGAATAATACTTTTCCACTGCTTATCAAAAATAGGTGTTATACCTAAGTCTCCAGTAACTGCAGCATTTGGTGCATATTTTCCTACTCCAAGAAAAAATCTACATGCCCAATTATGTATGGAATTTATACAAGAATATGTTTTTACACCCCATATACCTGCTCCATATTCTATTATAGGACACACCAAACTTTCATAATTTTACAAATACATCGAAACAAACACCACCTAAAGGTTTACACTTGGCTATTACCAACCCTAAAACTCTATTTGCTGAAGATGCAACGGCTTTTGCAGTGATATTATAGTCGAAATGCTCGTTTAAAACGAGACCAAGATAAGTATAATTACTTGAAAACTTATAAGTAAGACCATTACAAATTAAAAATTACATCAGATCTAGGTATAGATAGCGGTCTAAAATGTACAACGTTACTCTTGTTTGCATTAATTGTCATACAATTGTCTTCACACCATGTAGATAAAGCATTTAACAGAAGTTGTAGCTCTTTTTCATCGTTTGAAATACTAACAACGTCATTGGCATATAATAAAATACACAGTTTTTCATCACCTATTTCTATCCCGTAGTCAACAGTGTATATAAAGTGCGAATCCAGTTAGTTCATTTTCACTGTTGTATGCGAGTATGTCCATTGTAGAATAAAGGATGATGGGAAAAACTGCGTTTGTTTACTTTTTGAAAATACAAAATAATTGATTTGAATATATGTTTTAACAGAATTTCAATAGAATATAAATTTTTAATTTATAATAACAGGATTAAAGTCCAAAAAAGTGTAATTTAAGCAGCAGAATCCATAATATCAATTTCTGAACGCGATTCATTTTAACTATAGATGCGATGAATTATCACTGTAAGTGCAATCATTTCTGATGTGGAATTTTTGGAGGTGCGATGAATTTTCATTGTCGTTTTATATGATAATTCGACACGCAACAACTGAAAATAGTTTTTAAATGACTTTGATATTGGTGATATTTACAATTTAAAATGCAAGCTAGTCGTAGATGCTTACTTGAATATACACTGGTATAATCACGTTCATATAATGCATATTCAAAAATTGTTGGTGTGTTTGTTATTAGCTTGTCATGGATCCTAAAATATACTGGAGCAGAAAATCCATGAATATAACGTATTTCTACGATAAAAAGTTTAAGAACTCGCTTAAAAAAAGCTTTGAAAATTTGTCACGCCGTGTCATACATATTTCTACCATATTGAAATCTACAACGAACGGTACTAAAGAAAGTAAACAAAATACAAAGAGAATGAATCGTACAGTGCCAAAATTCTGAGGTCAGTTTTTCAAGTAATTGTCTTCAAATAAAATTAAAACAATGGGTTTTTCATTCGTATTATTTATTTTTAACAACAACAAAGCACAAAATTACACGGTCGCATTCAGTGTAAGAGCCAACCAAGTATGCTCTTTTGTAGTTTAATCAAGTTTGAGTTACACATAGTGTTTGTTTCGCGATCTTTACAAGTAGTTCACAGACCTGTGTATTCAAGATAGTCCCATGGTGTTCATGTAATATAAATGATATACAATGCTGCTGTTTTCATAAACATGGAATACTTAACTGAACAGTACATCAATTAGTCTTTGGTGAAAATGTAAGAACGATCTATCTACCAACATCGCTTCGCGAGGTAGCGATTAACGTCCGGAATCAACGGTACGGCGGTTATACCACGTGGTATAACACCATATAAACATGTAACAAAAAACTGTTTTCAATATTTCTTTGTATTCTTACTTTGCGTATTTGCTTATTTGTAACACCGACTTATAAGAAATTCAAACACATTTAAGGTGACTCGACTGTTGCTCGAACTTCCTTTACTGTATACACAATGGCATGATAAATATCAATTATCCAGTCATCCAAGCGTCAACTGTTTGTGCAAATTGAAAACGTTTCCACTCATTCAATCGTGAAATGAAGATCGTTTTGTGTTTGCTCAATCTTAATTACAATGATAAGGGCAACATTTACACAATCAAAGCAAGCAAGCCAACCACACCTTTAAACTACACGCATTATGAAAATAGCTATTATGACGTTTTAATTTATTAGTATGCGATGTACATTTAGACCGAAACAGAAACTTTGCTTTTTCGGTGACGTGGATTGGCTTAACTGTCCAAGATATATGTATTTAATGATGGCGTGTCATAGGAAAGGATAAATTTTATCCTACATATAGATCTGGATCTGGACAAATTATTAGAGAAAATAAAATTTAATATGTTAGCAATAAATACCATTTTTAAGGAATTTATTGATATATTATCTCAGACTTTCACTCACTAAGTTTCCATATATAAGCAATCCTTCTGACTTCATAAATTTTGTTAGAGAGTCGGCTTAATCAAGACTTTATATAACGAAAATTAATTAATTTCCTTCTGTGAAAATGCATCGCATGTACAATAGAAATGAATCGCCCTACAGTGAAAATGAAAGTCTAGTATCATTATTCGACAGTAAACATGAATCGCATAATTAAAACAGCATAGTGGAATTTGATTCAATATCAACAAGCTAAATAACAAAACCTGTTTTAAGTTAAACAACATTAATAATATTGATAAAAGGTACATTTTTCTGCAAATGAAACTTAACTGCTACTTTTAAATCTCTTGCACGCTCTGTTCGTGAACTATTCTTAATATTTATCTATTTGTGTATCAATTTTGCACCTGGATGGCTGTACGCGCGATGAAAACCCGTCCGCATTTCATACCTATATCATGAATTTTAAAAACAGTACACAATATATATTATTTCTTATTTTTTTTCAAAAATCACGAATTTGTCGTCTGTTTATTTATCATTCTACATCAGAAATTCATCACGGATGCAGTAAAAATGACATTTCAGGATTCGCACATTACATTCACTGGTCAAAGGACTTAAGAAATGTAACTAAATCATTAATATACAAGTTGAACAAAATGGGTGACAAGGGACATCCTTGTTTTAAGCCACAGTTTACATCAAACCAGTCTGTGGAATGACCGTTTATTCGGAACATAAAACATTTG